AGCTTTGGTAGGAAATCAGGCTAAAAAAAAAAATGAGCACACTGTCACTGCAATCAAATACCATTCCCTGCTAGGGGGTTTCCAGATCAGCTATCCCACAGCAGCACCACTCCCAGCAGAACAGGGTGGCCCAGGCAGCAAAACATTCAACAAACTGTTCCGTTGCCACTTCTCAGGGGAAAACATTTGCTTAAAAACAGTCAGATGAATTTGGAGTGATCTATAGGGCACTTTGTTATGTTAATGACTGTTACCAACTGTCTCTTCTTTATATTAAAGTGTTGACTCATTGTCAGTTGGGGCGAGACAAGACAGCTTGCTTGTGCCTTGCAGTCCTTTTGCACTCACCCAAACTACTCATGTGAAGACACTTTAATATGAAGAGACACTGTCTGTGGCTATTATTAATCTCCTGACTGAAGCTCAGAATACTAATAACACCATGCAGGATCAGCTAACCTTTCCTCAGAGCATTCTTCATTCTGCAAGATTTTGGGCAAAACTAAAACATTTTTCTTTGCTCTCACAAGCCTGTGGCTGACAACCAGACTTCCCAATCTGAGATGTAAAAGGTTTTCACTTGCCCTCCACTGTGCTCAAATAAAATCATCATCATTCTGGCAGAGGTAAGAGAGGTGCCTCCCATAAGCCCAGAAACATCAGCTCTACCCTCATCAGACAGCAGCGTTTGGCAGGTCTGGCTGAGGTGAGAAAGCAACTTGTTTATTCTCAGACTGATCTTAAACCCAAGCGTAACAACCAAACCTCACTGTGAGATGTACGGTCCAAATATTACAGTGGCATCTGGTAAGTACTGGAAGATGGATATTGGGGTGAAAAGAGAAAGGTTATCTTTTAACTCTTGTCATGATCAATAACTGTTAACACACAGAAAAATTGGGCTGAGGCGCTGAGCTGCAGAGGCTGGTGTCTTGGTAGAGTACCCCCCTCAGAAAAGAAAATAAATCCAAACACCTAACACAGAACTGCAAAATAAGGCACCGTATTACTCTTCTCTGCCTGATGTTGCTGCTCTGGGATTCAATCCAAGAACACTCAGCCCATTTATCCTGGTTACACACAGAGCACGCCATAGGTAAGTTTGTGTAACTGGAGTCTGAACACGATAACCTGGCAAATCACAGCTGTCCCTACTTCTTTTTTTGCCTTGGGAGGGGGGAGCCCAAACCCGTTCCTACAGTTTTATCACATTTTTACTCTCTTTGTGGTGAATGCCTAATTTCCAGCCAAGCCACTTATTTTTAGTTCTACGTGAGGCCTCTTCCATCCCAATTTAAGAAAAAAAGCAACAATCTTAAATCCAGAGCTGTGTATGCTGCCTGCTCATGCAGATCAACCACAGTCTCACCCTCTCAACTTCAGTGGATTTTGCATCCTTACGCCATCAACAGTTTCTTTCTGGAAACTCACATCTGTACACAAGTTTGGGCCCCTGAACCTCCTGAAAATAAAATAATCTGCCTCCAATGGAAGAAAATATGATATACCAGCTATGCTTTTAGCACCAGGAAAATCATGCCTGTGGGGTGGCCATTAGCAGCATGATTTTCCAGAAAAAGTTTAGGCTTGTTGCTTTTCTCTGTCAGGAAAATTGTTTAGCTCTTGATTAAATCCATTATCATCTCAGTTTCAAGGAATGTTATCATATACAGTTTGTAAGAAAACCAAACATTTGATCCTTTGATTTTGCCTTTATAGTATAAATGTATATGTGGCTGAATATTTATTTTTAAACAAAGTGTAGACCAACTGCAATATTGCCAGAAAGACATTAAGTGCATTTAGAGAACCATTTCCTCTCCACAGCCACTGTCCATAAACAGTGTCCATAAACTCCTCTTTCCAGTGCTCATGGGAATTTAAGAGTTCCTTCTCTAGCCAAGGCCAAGGCAGAAATGTAACATTTGAGACTAATAAGACATCACAGGAGCACATGCTAATAAAGGAAATCTTTTCCCTCAGACAAAGACAGATCTTGTCAGGCATCTGCTCTCCTCCACCCCAGGAGCAGGGGCTGGGGCACATCTCGCTGTGCAGGCACCAGACAGAAGAAGCTCTGCACTTAATTTTTTCTTATATTCCAGGCAAACATATCCTAAGCCAAGCAAGTGCTGTGCTCTCAACTTCAAAGCACAGAACTTTCACAAATTGCTGTAACAAAGAATAAAGTCTTCTCACATTTGTACAGTTATCTCCTGCCATCTCAGAGACACATTAAAAAATAAAACAAAACCCCCAAACCTCTCAGTTACTCCACCTTGACTGCCCACTCCATGGCTGGGGTGAGGGTAGGAGGACCGGAAGAGGGAGGAAGAGCTGTGTTGGTTCCTGCCACAGGCAGCACACAGTGGAGCTGCATCACCTATTTACATGCCAAACCTGAGCAAAAAAAATCTCTCCAGAGAGAATACAAGCTGACCTTGGCCTTGCCAGCAAGGAGGAGCTGGGCTTAATCCCCAGCAAATTCAAGGCTAGACAAGGTCTGAGCTAACCTGTGTTATTTCACAGCATATGCTGATGTCTCCCTTTTTGTGAGGGGAGAGGAAGTTTTGGAAGATGAGGATGAGTAATCTGATGCTTTAAGTGCTTGTTGTTAAACACCTAGAGGAAGCAGTTCCCAGAACAGAAGATTTATGCCAACAAACAAGGTGAAGTGGGTCCATCCAATGTCAACCTGTGCACTTGCCAATCCCCTGCTGCACTGCACATTGACCCCCTGACTATTTCCTAAGACTTTTACCTCGCAGTGCCCTGACTGGGTGTTCCTTCCATTACAACCTGGATGAAAGCCCATTGTAGCCTCTGGCAACTCCCAAGCTAACATTCAGGTGCCCTGACTCCTCCCCCAGGAGGGGATGCTGCTGTAACTTGCCCAGGGTCCAATGTCACAGCCTGGTCGAAGGGAGTGTTCCACCCAGCCTGAATTGAGGCTGCTGCTGCTGGGAGAGAAGGCAGCTGTGCTGAACAGGAAGACAACAGCACCCAGGAATGGAGGGAAATCTAGAGAGCCTGCAGCTCCCATGGGCTGGCTGCTTGCCTCCACCTCGTGCAATCAAGGGTGTTACAAACCCCGTGTGTTGTAATTCCTGACAACCAAGAGGACATGCTGACCTGAGACCTAGAAAGGGACAGACAGCCAGAGAGAGACCATCCTCCTTCTTTAGAGCAGACAAGCTATGCAGAAGTATTTCCATGAACTACTCTTAGGTAGCTACGGCACTTAGAACAGCCGAGTCTCTGGCAGACTCCCAGTGGGAACCACCACACCTCCATCATTTCTGCCCACCAGCACTCCTCCTCCCCAGCTGCAGCTTCAGCTCGCTCATTTGGGGCCATTTCCTTCAATACAGACACAGCCACCACCAGCTTCCAATCTATAGTAGCAGTGATACAAAACTAGCACTGGGTTCATTTCTCTTGTTCAGTTCCTCCAATGCCCCCAGCTTTCAGACCAAGGTGAGGGTTTGATACATCGTTACGACAAACCTTTCAGGAGGAGGAAGATAATCATATGCCACCTGGGTTACTGGAAATTCAATTTACTTTGGAGCATGCTTTATGCTGGTCTGTAGCTATTAAAGAGAGACATTTTCCAGTTGGAGCATGCAGCACTGCTCAGCTTAATTGCTTTCTCAGGGTTACCCAGTGCCATTGAGCCTCCTGCATCATCCTGGGGCCTTCCTTCCCTGGAGCCCCCTCCCACCTCTCAGGGTAACACACTTAGGAGTCAGAGACAGCTTGCAGGAACACATTATTTGATATTAGCTCATCTTTGCTGCACAAACTTCAGCCCAGTTGTAAACACACCAAACCCTTTTCTCTTACCTAGCCAGGCAGAACTGCCCCCTTTCCTCCCCCAGCCAGACCGGGCCAGGATCAGAGAGAATTTAGAATAGGATCCATAGGCAAATAGGGAGGAAACTCCTTCTTAGAGTTGTTTGGGTTTTGTTTGTTTTTTTCCACTAGGGACAACTATCTTCCTTATAATCAGCTGCACTCTTCCTTCCTAAAATGTTTCTCAGCCTGTGGCAACTTCTGCATAATTTTTTTTAAGCTACTGTAGAAAGACAGAACCACACTCAGACAGACAAAGTATCCACATGTGTTGCAAGACAACCAGAAATGGAGATTCTTAAACGTGAGATAAAAGAGAAAGTAAGAAAATAGCTCTCAAGGTAAGTCACCCCACCTGGAAAGTGCTGCATCTCTGGCACGTGACTGCACTCTTACCTGGGAAGCTGCAAAGCCCTGATCTCCATGCTTGGAACAGACTGCTTCCCATAGGAATAAAAGCAAGTTGACCTTTCAGAAAAGAAAGTTATAAATTTAGCTGGATCTCTGAAGCAGAGAGCAAATTTAGAGAGAGGCTTGTTATCTGAACAGTTTCATTCCTATGGGTATATCTGTGTATCTCAGATCCTGATTTCCCACACAGCCCAGAGGACACATGAACACCTGCATTCACTCTTGCACAGGTATTAACCATAGTTAATATTTAGCATAAAACAGGAAGTTAGAGTTCACCATATCTGTAACATTACTACAGAATATTTTCTTTAACAGTTAAAAATGCAATCTCATTTGGAAGATGCCAGTTACAATTCCACTTTTGGTGAAACAAGTGAAAGAGGCCAAGAACTGAAAAGTGACAGCAAAAAGACTAGTACTGAAGCTTGTCTGGTGATTTAGGAATTAAACCTAGAGACTACCTTTCAGGAGGGTTATTGTTTCCCCCACCCACCCCTATTTTGTGTTTTAAATTTAAGGACAAAGTACCAAAATGTGTCTTGACAAGTCCTTCAATGTTACAAACTTTTTCAATAATTGGCAAATAGGACATTTCCTTGTCTAGGACATGTAATTCTGAGAAATTAAACCCTCACCAGCAAACTTGTTCAGCTCACATTTACACTTGCTTTGTTAGCACAGAACTTACAACCATTCATTGCAAGGAAAAAAAAGCCAGCAGCACCAAATAATTTGCTTACCGTTAGTTACCATAGGCATTTTTATTACATTAAAGCTTTAACATTTATCAGAATACTGGGTCAGGGAAGAGCAAAAAGGAGAATAACAAAAAAATAATAATAAGCAGCCTTGCTGGGAACTAATGTTTAGAAAAACTAACCCACGACAGAGTAGGAGCTTCCTGAAGTATTAAGTGTTGTAGCATTTAAGTTATCTGCAGCAGGTCATGATGAATCCTGGCAGTCTCATAACAGCTTTAAGTGTTGTTGAACAGTCCTTCAAAGTAAACACAACAAGAAAAAACAGGCTATCATTTATTTCTGTATTCCCCTCTTCTCCAGAACCATGGCTTTCCAGAGAATGTCCTGCTAGGACTTCTGAGGTTCTCAGACATTGCAAAGGTCAAGGACCTTCCTGTAAAAAAGGCACACAGCTCTCCAGAATTTCATTTTGCACAGATGATTATGATTATTTTCACAGATACTATGCCAAAATCCCCATGTTTAAATGATTATAAGAGGTAGACTCTTCCTGCTGATCACCTCTCACTAACCATCACGAAAGGGTAACAAGCCAGACAATGATTCAAGAATTTCCCAATATGCTGATGATTACAAGTGTGTTGTGGAAGGATTCCCCATATATTTGTCATGTTTATTATCCCCTCCCTAGCCTCCTACGTCTGACTAGGGGAAATCCAAGTAGCCCAACATGACAATTTTACCTTAGTATCCAAAACAAAAGTTTCAATTGATAAGCCAATAGCAGAAAATAAATAAAGCAATAGTTACCACACTATTCATCCCCAACTCCCAGACTATTAGTGGTCACAGTCTGAAAAAACCTTAGCTGATCATAATTAAAAGAAAAATAAAAGTATACATAAAACCAGCTGTCTTAGACAGCATTTTTATTAAAAATGAATACACAGACACATAGCAGCTTTTACAATAAAAAGGTTTTTAAAAGGCATCAAGTTGTAAGCCAGCCATTCAAAAAAGAGGCTTTGAAACGTTGTCTTCCACAGCATTTTTTGCCCATTTGTCACCAGGGGACAAGATTACCCAAAGGACAACCAGGGACAGGAACTAATTTCAACTTCAAGCCCTTTTTCTGAACGGTTGATCAAGCATCACCCTCCGTAGCAGCATCTGGAGCACACTTCGGTGTTCTTTCAAGTGGCTGGTGTACTTGATCCATCTCTTTAAAAATATTTTAACATTCAATAAAACTATTTCAAATAGAGAAACTCTTCTGTCACATGAAAGCAAGGTTTCCTTTTCAGATTCCATAAAAGCTTATGAACTTCACTGGCAGCATTTCTGTAATGGAGCAGGAGTGAAAACCAGCAGAACAGGCACTTCAGCAAAACTGTTTGTCAACAGTTTCTAAAGTCATATTGATGGTAGTCCAGAAGACAGTTTCTTACTACTTTGTGGTGGTGTAAGGACACCAGTAGGGAAAGGTGAAGTCCTATTTTGCTCAGCCAATATGGCTTGTTTTGCTTGAGCTCTGTCCTGAAAGTACAGGAAAAAGAGAAAAAGAAATCTTTACTTTGGTATGTCTATGCAACAGATCAATATAATTCAGTGTTTCATAACTTGATAGACTGCCCATCTAGAAATGCATTTCTGTATGTAACCCCCCTAACAGTAACTGATAAATCATATATAGTACAAAATAGTGACTTGTAGTTGTCTTGTAGTACAACTCGAAGAGATCATTATTAACTTTTGGAATCTGATGATTAGCATTAGGTATTCACAAGATACAAACATTCTGGTACCTTCAAGGAAGCAAAATCCAGAAACTGAACAGGATGAACTTTAACTTCTACTACAATTAAAAGAACCCAATGAGAAAAACAGCTGCGACAGCCAAGATTAACCACAATTTGTTGGACAAGATTTTGATCCTCTGCAAGTTTCTCACATGAAAAACCACTCTTGCTCAACTGCTTGTCAGCTACCACTGTCACACAACATTCCCACAAGATCAGTCTCAAGTGATCAGTCTTTATTTTTCTCTTTATCATCAGAGAAGATTGGATTATCCGTATTTCCTATAGATAAGGGTCTAACACATGGTGTTTAAAATATCTCAAAGGGTAGAAATATGCTTCTGATTTCCAGGGTAATTATCTGCCATTTGAGATGAGAGGGTGAAATCACAATCCTCTTTTTAAACTAAATACTGAACAAGTCAGTCCCAAGACAAGTCTCTGTCCCAAGAACTTTGGAACTGGAGTACAACCTTATGCCTTTTATCATCCAAATACGCTCAGCATCAATCTGATAATACTTCACTTAAGTTTACTGTATGTTCTAACCAAAGAAGAAACAAGACTTCAGAGATTTCACAGACAGATTTTGTCCCCATCATGCTCACCCATACCAGCAAATCAAAGCTGTTTATGTGCGTCTGTATATTGTGCAAATCTTCGGGAGCTATTCCACTAAAGTGTTTGAGTTTGGAGCTTCCAACTTCCCTCAGAGCCATCGCAAACGGGACCATCCATTTCACACATTCCTCTATCTCACAGAATTCATAGCCTGGAAGACAAGGCACATGCTTATCTGCCTGAAAGAAGACAATGTTTGTCAGTACATCAGACATAGTTTATAAATGCCAGTACCTGAAACCTTCTGCATCAGCTCAGATGAAGAGAAGTGATACAAAGCAGAAGCTGCAAGTATTCCATATGTATATTCCAAGCAGCCAATATCCAGCACACAGAGATCCAAGAGCTACAAGACAATAGATGTTTAATGAGCATAGCACAAGAACACTTTTTTCCAGGTGAAGCAGCATTTGAAGGAAATCAGTCTCACCTCTGTTATTTGTACAAATATTTGCTGAGGATATTGTGGCAGCATTACCTCGTAAAGCTCATTTAAATATGCAACTTGCATGTAAATATTTAGCCACGATACAACTGTCAGTGGATTTAAGTTCCAGTTAAGAGCCTGAAAGAGTAGACATACACAAGACTTCAGTGTCAATAAAGAGCTCCTAACTTAAACCATGCAACTTTGTATACTCCAGATCAAAAGCTCTAATCCCACTAGGTTAAGGCATCTTTGAAACACACTAATCAAATCCTCTCCTGTACCTCTTCCTGCTGACAGGGTCAGGGATCAAATCATTTTGTTAATACACACATACTAGAGGATGCTTTGGATCACTTGTTACCTAGAGAAAACACTTTTCTAATGAATAAGAGAAACTGTACCTCTTAGCACCACATAACATTAACTGAGGTGCTCTGCTTTTAGGCTGATCAAGCTATACATTTTTAAAAACTGAAGTGGAACTAATTCCACTTTTAAATAGTACCTTCATAATGATCAACTCCATACTAATGATTTCATCTTCTGTACAGGCTCCATCTGTAACATAGGCAAACTGGTGCAACTTTGGTGGATAAATTTCCTGGAAGACAGGAGATCATGTATTTAATTTGCAGCATAGGTTGTAACTGGTCTCATCTTAAATTAAAAAAAAAACATTAAAAAAGAAATAAAAAGAACAACCCACCACTGCTTCAACCTCTCAAAAGAGAGCAGGGGAGGGGAAAGAACCACCTCCCATTTCCTAATCCTGATGTTCTCTTCTACCTTTAATAGACACAGATTTTTTGTTCATCATAGCCTTCAACTTTCACTTTGCATGGATCAGTACAACCTGCATTATGTTTGACTACAGCACCACTGTGACTGTATCATAACTGGCATCCAGATTTTTTTAAACATCCTAAAGAAAAGGCCTTTTATCTCTTGCTTGAGAAGAGCAGATTGAAGAATAGATCTCCTAAATGACTAACAGTAAGAACTTGAAAAGCACTGTGTATTTTAATAGTTCAATTTGATCCAGTAACTAAAAAATAGCTCAGACTACCATGCAGTAGGTATTCTACTGACAACAGAACTGCAACAAGTGGTCTCTGTATACAGCAGCCACCTAAAAATTCATTTAGCAACAGCAGTTAAAACTTTACATTTATTCTAGCACTGAATTCTCTAATGAGATAAAACTAGCTAGCATCACAATATAATTTTACCCACTCCTAAAAAAAAGGAGTGTTGAAAAAAAAAAGTCTTTTTTTTCTATCCCCCAGATGAAAAAGACATAGCAACAAATTCCATAAAATCTGCCAAAACATGTCTAGTTTACAATGAGTGTGCTGTGTGTGCATCCACATTTTTATGTGTGAGTAAAACTGGAGATACTTACCTCAAGTTTTGCTGCTATGAATAAAGAAGTGACACCAATAAGCTGCAATAGTGTTTTTACAACATCCTGTTGCGTTGCCATAAACCGATCAAAGAAATCTTGTGCTAAATAAAAAGTTTCTCTATGAAGCTTGTAGGCTTCACAAACCTGGAGAGACAACAGAGATTACAAAGGTCAAGAGCAGTGTTAAAGAGTCCAAAACAGATGCTACAGATGTATTCAGAAAAAAGCAAGAGATAGACATAAAATTCATATTGGCTTTCTGCTTCACTGCTATTGTGAAGTAACATGTTAACTAAGAGCATGAGTTAAACAGTTTCCTTTGGATAAAGATGAGTGCCACTGCAGAAACTTCCAAGAAAAAAAAATAGATCATAGAGAAAACCCTTTTAGGAAATGCAAGCACATGTTCCAACAATGTTAGAACATTATTTCCTCATTTTTTGCAAAGATGCATCATTCTAACATCTCAAAAGAGAAAATTCTCACAAGTACTTTAGAATTAAGAGTTTATGCCACCAAGTCATCCAGACAGCAAAAAAGACTCACATAGAGAGGAGGTGTAGCACATTCCACATGTCAAAAACGGATAAAAAGGTTGTGAGATGGATCTGATCTCTAACCTACCCCACCTTTCTTCTTACAGTGACTTTCACAATCATTTGTCCAACTTTTATCTGCAGCATGACCTTAAAAAGCTTACAGTGTGTTAGGCAAAAATTGATTATTATCCACTATCCATCTAAACGAATAACAGAATATATTGTCAGTTTGCAAACCAACTCAATACATCATATACTCTTTAAGTTTGGTGCAATTTATTGACAAAATTTAAGATTAATACAAGTATCTGGAGCTAAACGCAAAGATCATGAAGTGCACTCGTGACAGTTATTAGTGCACTTCAACGAAAGCACACTTGAAACACTCACAACCACAGGAAAGCTTACCTCCATTAGCCAGTCTAGAAGGATTGTCCTCATTTTAGGTTGCAGCTGAGGGTGCCTTTGCAGATAAAGTTTATCTCTCACATAGGTCTCTTCTTTGTTTATCATGTTTTTCCATACGTCGTCCCTGTTTGCCCAGCTAAGACAGATCAAGGTTTAGTCTTGAATCATCAGGCAAGAGGAAGACAGAGTAGCAGCAGAAAGCAGCACACTTACCCTAGAGCTGGTAATGGGGTGGCTCTGGTTGGAACAACACTCAGATGTATAAAGCGAGAGTAATCAAGGCTAACTGGATCATCGTCTTTATCTGGAGTAGGAATTAGCATATGGACATTCTCGGGAATGTTATTCCAGGACATCTAATAAATGAAATAGAAGATTTGACACTGTGCATTTTTAGATACTAATTTTATTTGTAAGTAGAAGAAAAGACATTGGCATGAAACTATGACAAGCACTATGATTACCTCTTTAAACTGAACAGAATCACAGAATGGTAGAGGTTGCAAAGTCCCTCTGGAGCTCATTTTGTCCAACCCCCCTGCTCAAGCAGGGCCACCAAGAGCCAGTTACTCAAAAGCCTTCTGTACATGGTCCTGGGCATCTGCAAGGATGGAGACTCCCCAACCTCTTTGGGCAACCTGTGTTAATGCTTGGTCACCCTCACAGTAAAAGGCGTTCCGTGATATTCAGAGAGAACCTCCTGTGCTTCAGTTTGTGTCCATCTCCTCTTGTCCCATCACTGAAAAGAGCCTGGCTCCATCTTCTTTACATCCTCCCTTCAAATATTTATATACAATTGATACAGCCTCCATAAGCCTTCTTTTCTCTAGGCTGAACAGTCCTAGCTCCCCCAGCCTTCCTTATAGGAAAGGTGCTCTGGTTCCTGAATCATCTTAGTGGACCTTTTCTGGACTCTTCCCAGTATGTTCCAGTCTCTCTTGTACTGGGGAGCCCAGAACTGGACACAGCACTACAGGTGTGGCCTCTCCAGTGCTGAGTAGCTGGCTATTGCTTAGAGTAGAGAAAGTTTGCAACTAAAGCTGAAGAACATTTACCCTGTTCTCCTTTTCAAGGACCACAACTGTTTCATGGAAGAATATCCAAGTCAGAGTCTCCTATTGTCGTGCTGCGTTTTGTTTTTACAAAAAACATACTTGCCCTCAGGTAAAGAACAAGCAGATGGACCTTTAAGACTCAAATATGAGGTTGGGATTTCTGGTAAGGAACATGTAGATAGGATGCCTGAAATCATGGTTACATGTAAACCATCTCAGACAGTGAACACAGAAAAACAGTAGTTTATAGAATTTCTTACTTATTCATCTAGCAGTGTTAAAATAAAAGACTACAGCACTTATGATCCAACTGTTTTCAGAATAAAGAAAGTGCATGTTAAGCAATTGCCATTAAACTATCAAGTTGACAATTTCATATGCAGAATTCTGCTAAGGTCTGCAAATAGACATACAACTTTTCACCTGTCATGTCCTTTTACTTTTATTTGGACCAAAACTTAAGTTTAGGTTTGCTTTTCCTCCTGCCTAACTCAAACAAGATCTAGTTGTACACGTCACACAGTTCCCTGGGAAAATACTACTTGTTTTATTTGCAGTAGAATACAAAGCCAGCAATATGTCATCATGCCTAAGCAAATTAAAATCTGGCATTTCTGCTTAATAGTGAGGTCAGCCATTTTGCTGCAAACTGATCTGTTCTGCAGCACTAAAAGGACAGAACTCCCTAACAAGATTTCTAATGTGCTTTTAAAAAATTAAAAAAAAAAAAAAGTCAGAAGAATCATTAGGTGCTAACAAGCAAAATACTACATGAAACTTTGCCTCTCACAAAGAAGCCTCCACACCTGATTCTTGCCCTGTCCTTCCCACAAATGACATCACTTTCCAGCAAAATGGTCACCTCCTGCACCAGCTTCAGAAACAGAAACCACCAGCTTTATGAAACCAAAAACACATTTCACAGTTTGCTCACAGCTAAGGCTGCTTTGTACTTTGAGTTACTGACACACAGATCAGTCCTTTTTCTTCTTAGAGTTCTACATGCAAACTCAGCCATGCCACAATCGAATTTGGGTGGGGGAAGGCAAGAAGAGGGAATAGTATCTTTATATTAAAAATTACAGACTCCTTACAAACTGAAAATTTGAATGAAAGTGTCACATCAGCATTGCTTTAAGTTAATTTTTGTCCTCCCTCCCAACTAGACTTTAGTCACACTTTGTTCTCCAAATTGCACAGCAAGCCCAGCTGCCAACAGCCTTTGCAGAAGTGCTGTCTTATCAGTTAATCAGCAAACCAACAGAAAAGCAGTATATTATATACTATCTATTTAAAGGTGCCTACTACACCAGCAGCTTCTGAAGGACCGGAGATCTGCTCCACAAAGTTCTCAAAGTTGACACCTCACATACCACATACAACAATCACTGAAAAGATTTCATCACCCTCAATCTTCTATAATGAAACAGAAGTAAAGGTCAAGAGCCTTTTAGGTGTTATGAGAAGAAGGGGAAAACAAAGTTTTTGACTACATAATGTCACTTTACAAGACAACCAGGGAAAAAAAATGCAAGCAACACAAAAAGTATATAGCTTAGCTAGAGACAAGAAGAAAACTAATGTACAGGGCCCTCAAAAGAAAGAGGCTACTGGGGGGGGTGACAGGAGTCTGAATTAGTGTAGGTGAGGGAACGCCATAACTCTGGCACAGATTCTGGCTGAGGGAACGAGCATTATCAGACTCTTGAGCCTCCAAAGCAGATTTAGCAAGACATTCAATCAAAAGTGAAAAACATGATACCAAGAAGCTGCATTACATCACACTGTAACTGCAAGGAAATAGGAGCCACCACTGAAAAAAGAAACAGTTTAAGATGGGGAGAGTGTGAGAAAACCATGAAGAACTTCCTCTAGGCTTGCACAGAGCCAATTTTTAAGCAGGGACCTGTCAGAAAGCAAAGATGTTACCAAGAATCTGTGCAGCCTAACAGAGGAAATACTAAAGTCCTGGGCTTATTTCTGAGGCAAACAGGAGCTGAAGTAAGATGCAAGCAAAAAAATCAGTGGGGAAAACTGCCTCTTCAAATCTATATGGAGCCCAGCAGGAAAGCTTGGCAACACCTACACCTATATTCCAGATACAGGAACAATTGATCAGAGATACAGATTGGAGAAATTAAACTGAGCATGTGAGAAGGCTCCTTAGGAGAAGGAGCACCAAGAAGGGCAGAAGGTAGGTGACATGAAGTCCATCAGAGCAGTAAAGCCCATACAGCTCTAAACAACAAAGACCCAGGAGTTCAGTGGTGGGTATTTTTAAAGCTCAAACATTTTCTGAAGCACGTCACCATTCACTGATACATCAAACATTCATAGAAACACATCTTAGGAGCAACCTTCAGGATACAGGACAGACACAAAACAGAGCAGGTCATGACCACTGGGGTCATTGCTTACAGGCCAGGCAGAGCCTTCAGTGAAGAAACCACTGTAAGAACACAAGCTGCTGAGACACTCGTGCATCTCAATGTGAGCCAGGAGCCACCAGAACCAGCTTCCACAGACCCGGGTCAAGGAGGGCAGCAGAAGAGGAAGAGGATGATTCAGAACTGCATTCAAACAGCTAAGTCAGAAGACTTTCAGCATAAAAATCAAAGGCAGGGGAACAGGAGGTGGACAGGCCTGTTTATCTCACCCTAAAAGCAGCACCTTGTAACAGAGATGTGTATCAATCACTAGACCACAGCCCTGGTTTGCCCATCAGAAACAGTAAGACTTACAATTCCAGCCATTTTTCACTCATTTTTCAGGATGCATCAGTTTGAAGTATTGGGTTTTTTCTCTGCCATTGGAAAGGGACTCCAGAATTAATAAACAGGAGAGAGAAGAGGAACTGACATTATTAAATTATTCTAATTCTTTCTCAATGGCACAGGAGCTTCTACTACAATATTGTCCTGACTCAGATTAGGCTCAAGTCAAGCTCTCAGCCTGGGTATTTACATTCTTTATCTGTTTGTCTGAAGACTTGTAAGCTGTTTGTTTGTGGGTTTCATTTTGTTGTTTTTTTTGTGTTTTTTTTTAAATTGGATCTTCTAAAGTTAATATACATTAGTCAAAGATATTTTCAAACCAGTTAGGTGGAATATTTTGACAACACTAAGATCAGATTCTGAAAAATATTTAGTGAGAAACTGATCAAAACTATTTCCTATTACTCCACCTTTACACATGAAAACATTAGTTGGTTTCATATAAACAAATGAACTTCCAGATTCAATTCTCCACTTTAGATGGAGGTGGCCATGTAAGTTGTATCACAAGTGCACAGACTAATCTAGTTAGATGAATTTTGTTTTATACGGAGCCTCGGAAGTGTATTCATCCACAGAAAGCAGCCAGAATTAATATGAGAATTGCTAGCAGAATTACAGCAGTGCTAGTTCTCTAAAATCAAACACAGAATTTATGCAATATTCTGCTGTCACAGACCTGATGATATAGCCACCCTTCATCACATAAAGGGTAACAGCATCCTAATTAAGAACTCGGGCCTTATGTTCCACAGAAGCAAACTAATGAATTGACTATGAAGATGTCATAAAGTGGGATGTGACCATGATATTTTGCTTGGTGGATAAACTAGTGTCAGTAAACAATTTATTTAATGTACAAGTCATGTGGTATGGGCTGCAGTGGATTTATAGCTGCTTGCATTTTAGAGTTGTCGTGTCTCAACAGAATAACTATCGCCCTGGCTATCATACAAGCCTGCTATACTGCTGCTGGAACCGTAAACATATTCTCATTAGTGGTCCATGGCAATTTATATCAGAGAATAGCTTGTGTCACACCATAGACTGAAGAGCTGCTGCTGTGCAGCCAAATGTTAGCTTTTTTAACCAGATCTGTAACAATCTGGCTACTTTGTCACAACAAAAAAACCCCTTCTCTATGAAGAGAAAGATACACAGATACCCGTATTATTTATGGTTTACAGAATCAAGGGGTCAAATCCCACCAGCATCCTATGGTTAACTCAAAAAATTCCCAAGTAAACATTTTTAATGCCTACCACCTAAATTATATAAATTTTAGCTTACCTATCACTCCTGAAGTATCATTAAATGGCTACCAAGCCAAGGACACAAACAAGACAAAATTAGAAATCTTTATCTACTTTCAAAGCAGAAGGTCAATGTATGCAAACTATATTTCAAGTTTCTTTTCATTGTCTTTCAGGAAAAAGGTAAAATTGAGTCCCTCTTGAGATTTTTTCAATGCTACCTTATTATTATGCAATAAATATGCACAAGAAGGCCTTGCTCAGGTCAAACAGAATGAATCTTTTGGTGAAGGAGAAAGCTGTGGTGAAGGACAGGCAGCTCTTCCTCGTCAGAAGTGAGAAATTAGTTTAATATACTGTGCAAAAGAAAGACAGAAGGGAAGGAGAGATCCCCTCATTAAATGCTCACCATTTGAGCCCTGCTTAATATGTTGACTGATAACTAGTGTACGCAGTTGCAACAAGCAGAGGCCATTCCAAACAATGATGCCCATCTGTTATGGTACCACTTCAGTCTTAGAACTTCCAGCTGCCACTTCTGGTTAGATGTGCCACATTATGCACAGCCTCACGTACCAAATGAGTGCAGCCTGCACACCCCGGTCCTGACTTTTGCAACTTAAGTATCACCCTGTGTGTGCAGTGACCGGCTGAAGTCTCAGTGACAGTGACTGAACGAGCCTGTGTGTGCATGCAGACAAAAAAACAGAGGGGAATAAACGAATAAACCTGTTCCAGAACACAGGCTACTCTGTTTTATTTAGAGTAGGCATCTCAACGTACATGCTTTCAATACCACACACCAAAGTGGCATGCAAGACAGACACCAAAAGCATCTCTGTTTTGAAGAGTACAGAAAGCACATAAAGGGAACTAGAGGACACTCCTAGAGGTAGTTTTCACTTCATAACTCAGATCATTCCAAATGTTTTACTGAGAGAACTGGCAAGGGTCATTATCAACCTCCACTGCAGGATTGATTTTCACCGTTGACTTTACAGAAATTATCCCTTCATTCTACAGAGAAACGAAGCTTATTTTACCATGCCATTAGCACCTAGTATACACTTCAAAGTTCTAATCAGGAACTTTGTCAGTATAATGACCCCTGTCAATGGGAATCTTCCCTCTGCCAGGTGACAAAGTAGAGCATGACTGCAAAGAGAACCATCTCAAGAGATGATTCTGTTTACGTGCTTAAGTGTCTCCTGTTTGGCGAGCAAGTTATATGAGCACCACTGTACTTTTGCAACTCTCTAAAGAAGTCAGGGCAGAGCAGGCCTAAATGCATAAAAACTCTTCTCTCAGGTGCACCCTTGCAATCCCAGGACATTTAAACATACCTAAGTATTATCATGTTTCAGACCAACACACCAGGCCTTGTCTCTTGCAAAGACTCCAAAGCAACGTGTATGAACTGAAGTGTTTTGCAGGCTCCATCACCAGGGCCTACAGTCCCCCTTGCCCACT